GATGTTTGGTTTATAAAATGTACCTCTTTGTAGAGATGGAGTTGAAAATGTTATAAAATCCTCTCAAAAAAAGGAAAGAAGTAGGTTCTCAAATATTCTTTTGCATACTTAATTAGGTGCATGCACTGTTGTAAATATTTCTCTGTGAGGCAGAAATCTCACTGCCTAATTGCACTTTAGCGTATGTTTGCAGTTCATTACCACAAAGTGCATTGCTCTGTACCTGAAACCCCATTAGCCTCTGCTCTGCTGCGCCACCACAGCTGGAATCCTTGTGTTTGGCTCTTCAGACACAAAGACTCCAGTGTGGCTGATCTGCATTCAAAATCATTTATAGGCAATTTCCAAGTAACTTTGTCTGATACGGCTTTGAAGAAGACACTAGGGTTCTGGGGAAAGTCATTCTTAATGTCCCAGTGGCACTTAATAATTAGCCCTGTGAAATTAAGGTGGGATTTGAAAAAAAATGCTGCCCCGTAATTCAAATTTTCATGCTTCATTCTTATTCAGAGTATTTTGTATTCTGCCTCCATAATCCTGATTATTTTACAATTACACATTAATCTTCAATATAAAGTGTTTTATAGAAAATGGATTTGAAGGACATCTGTTTTTAGAAGTCCAAACCATGGTTATGTGTAATCGTGGCTATAATTTTGATAAGGGGGCTGCAGGCTACACAGACAGAAAACCTGAGGCCCTGAGACTGGAACTTGCACAGATTCAGTCACCTAAGGCAACAGTGAGCCCCCAAAACCCTGCAACCCCAGGAAGGTCCTAATGTCTTGTGGCACTTAGCAGCCCAGGTCCCACCTCACACCTATACTAGTCAAGGGCTTGGATAGCCAAGGGCATGCACAGCATCAGCACTAAGTGAAATAAACAATAAAGCCCTTAAACACTGGTTGAAAACAGATCTCCTGCACCTTGGAAAAAATGTCTTAATCTCCTGCCTGCAGAAGGGAGACCAACACTGTGAATTGCAAGCAGAAGTAGGGGCATAGGTACATGAGAAGGAGCAAGCCACAGAGAGAAACTGGGCTAAAAATAGACCTTTCTACAGCATCCCTCATTGTCCTTACATGCCATGAAGATGTCTGGGTTTCTAAGACTCCTCGGTAATGGCTCAGGCTTCAATGCCACTTGCTGCAAAGCTCAGCTTTGTGGCTCAAAAGCCTCTTTATGGGTCCATCCCTCAGTCCTTTATTTATGAGGGTAGAGAGAGCTCTGCTGTTTTGGCCATCTTCCCCAAAGTCTCACACCTTTTTTTTTTTTTCAGTTCTCAATGATGAGAAAAATCAAGGTGACTTAAGGCAAAAGTGGAAATGTCTCCTCAGTTCCTGGGCTTGGTCAAGGACAAGATCCACAGGGCCAGTGTACAACAGTTAAAATCAGTGGTTTCCTCACCAAGTGAGCAAACACCAAAATCATAATTAAAATTTCTGCTTCCATTTTCAATAATTTACAATCTTTTTATAACATTTTGTCATTGTTTCGTTGTTTTTTTCCTCTTGTATTCAGAGGGAAAAGAAATAAGATTTAATAAATAAGATGAAGAATCCACATGACAGTACAACAGCCTAAAGGGGAAAAGGAGACATTTCTAATCTTCACTGTCAATAACTCATTTATTTATCAATGCTGCTGCATATTAGCATTGCTTGGACAGCCAGGATTTCCTGGGGAAATGCTGGCTGGATTAATTGCCAGGACCACTGGCACTAATGTTAAGTATTCTTGGCTTCCTAGGGAAGAATGAGCATGTCATTAACCAGCTACTGGAAGAGGTGTTCCCATTACTATCAGTCTCCCACAGGCATGGGTATTTTTAGCCCATTTCTAGTAAGGCAATGAACATTTATTTCCTAAGAGAAAGGAAATATATTGAATTAGGGCATTATGCCATCTGCCTTAACATGATTTGTGGAAAAGGTAGAGACTGCCCATTCCTGGGACAAGCAGTGGTGATGGTAAGGCAGAAAGGTTACTCCTTCCATAAATCTGTAGCAGAGTTACAGTATATAGGCATCTTGCCTTTTCTCTGATGCAGATCAATTGCTCAGAGAGTAGCAGGGAAGGCCATTTTTCTACTCCTGTTACAAGGCAGGCCCAGTGACAGAGGGAAGTGGCTTATGTTTAATACTCCACTAAAGCTGAGATCATGGAGTCTTGAACAAATATGTAACTGCATACACAGGATAGGCAGGGAAAGATGGAAAATCCTATTCAGGATTAAAAAAATAAGAAACAAAAGAGATTGTCAAGAAAATGTAACTTACTAGGAACATAAGGAGGGTCATTGATATCATTAGCAGCACACCCAGGATACTGGCCTCTCAGGAAATTGGATGGTTCATTCATATCCTTTAGTAAAGAGAACAAGACACAAGTCAAAAGCCTATTTTTTTTTCTTTTTTTTTAGAAGAAAGAAGGGCAAATATAATGAGACTTACAATCCAGATCCCATCATAGTCAAGGACATCCTTAAATTCCAAACACATCTGGGTCCACCACTCCACTGTCCTGGGGTTGGTGTAGTCAGGAAACACGGAGTCTCCGGGGGGCCAGGCCTAGAGTCCACAGGTATAACACCTGGTTATAATTTATGTTACATGGCTGCTTTGTCACTCTGAAGCAGCAATAGACCAAATGCGTTAGATAATTTAACGAACCAACCTTTCCAACAGCAGGAGTTACACCATCAGAGTTGTTCACCCAGACTCCCATTTCCTGGCCAAGATCATAAGGTCTGTAAGTGCCTGGTTCTTCGTCCTTACTTATGAAAGGGTCCTGAAGACAGTAATTATATTTCCATTATTGAAATCCCAAAGGCAACAGTTATTTTTGTATTTGTATATTTTAGAGAAAGTTGGATTATGTTCTTAATGCAGATTGCAATGGTGTCAGAGAAAAACAGTATCAAAATTTTGTAAGAGTTGAGAGCACACAATAATTTTGAAAATTCACTAAAGATATGTTGCTTTTCTTGTATAAGGCAAAAGTGATGTGAAATTATTAAATATCTTAATGTTTGGGGCTTTTTAATGAGACATTCTGTGTTCAAATTATTTTAGAGAGGCTCTAGATTTTCCTTTACCCCCTGCCAAGGTATCTGACCAGGGTGCCACACTGGGTATTCCTACACTCGGAAACCTCTGGGTTTCCTCCAAGGCAATCCTCGCTCCAGCTGTCTCAGCAACATCTGCTCAATGCTAGAATAACTAAAATTTCTCAAGTGGTGTAAAGTTGGGACACATCTGATCTCAGAAGGCACTAATTAGCCCTCCCTTCAAATCCATTGAGAGACAAGGGTGTTTTTTTCCAGTCTGGTGCAGAAGAATCCAACTCACGTACGCCTGCAGGGCCACACATCTGTGTTCTCCCCAGGCATGAAGACCACAGCACTTTATACCCCATAGCGATTAACATACAAAAGAACTGAGTTAACCCCTGAGCAGGGAAGGTCTTAGAAGAGAAGAGCTATGCTGGAAGAGCAGAGCTGTGCTGGTGGTTGGTGAGGAAGAAGGGAAAGAAGGTGCCCAAGCAGAAGTTTCCCTGCAACCCATGGCGAGATGGCAGCTGTGCCCCTGCACTCGTTGAGGAACAAATGTGGTGGAACATTCCCTGAAGGTGCCAGGAGGGGTGAACTTGGCCATTGGACTTGGATTTTGTGGCCAGAGGATTTGCTGCCTGTGGACTCTGATTGCGCAGCTTTAGAAGACCCCGGTGCCAGGGGAGTTTGTTCCTGAAGGAGCCGGTGACTCTGTGGGAAGCCCAGGCTGGAGCAGCTCCGGACCTCGTGGGAAGGACTCATGAAGGAGAGGTTCATGGAGGACTCTCTGCCATGGGAGGGACCCCGTGGGGAAGCAGGGGAGGACTGTAAGGAATCCTTCTTCCTGAGGAGGAAGGAGCAGCAGGAACCACCAGCCTGTGAACTGACTCTAAACCCCATCCCCTGTCCCCCTGTGCTGCTGGGGGGAAGGAGGGAGAGAAACCGGGAACAAAGTGATTTGGGCCTGGGAAGAAGGGAGGTGTGGGGTAACATATGCAAGCCCTGCTCTTTGTGTTGTCTGTGTCCTGTGTGTGTTTGATTAGTGAGAAATTAAATTAGTATTTTTTTCCAAAGTTGAGTGTGTTTTGCCCGGGACCTTAATTAGTGAAGAGCCCTCCTTGTCCTTTGTCTCGACCCATGAGCTTTGTCCTCCTCATCCCAGAGTGTGTGTGAGGGGGAGCTGAGAGAGCAGCCCTGGGGCTGTTCCTTTGCGGGCCCAAAGCCAGGACAGCCATCAATCACCTAGCTCATCAAAAGGGATCCTCATCTGCTCCTGGGGAGGATGGTGGCCCCATCATGCCAGTAAGTAATAAAATTATAAATACTTTGAGATGCCAGTGAATGCAAGAGATACTATTCAACTCTGCCCAGCAGTCAACTGGGACTAAAAGGAGATAAGTGTTCTTTGCAATATGTCCCTAAGTGGGAGCAACTATCTGCTTTGTGTTATTTAGAGCAGAGTAAGATTGCAGCCATTTTAGAAGAATTTTCTCTTAGAAAATATTTTTTCTTCAGGTTCTTAGAGGCAAAATCTTTCTGTTATGAAACACAGTGGAGAAAAACATCACTCAAGGAGTTCTTCCATTCACTTGTAGCTACTAATAAACTAATAAACTTCTTAAGAAAAAAGCATATCTGATCCCAAATGGGCAATTTATTTAAAGGCACGTTTTAAAGCTCATTTTGATACCTAAAATAATTGCCTGATTTACTTGTCAGCCCTCTGACAAGCCCTTGTGAGGAAAGTTCATTTTTCCATGCCCCTGCTAAGTCCCTACCTTAAGTGCAAAATTCTGTTCAGCTTTAACTATCTAGCTCCAGTGTCACCTCCATGAAGACTGTAGCTGTTCATTAAGATTTTAACTATTCAATTCTTCAGCTCTGGAAAAGAGAAAACTGTCCATCTGCAATTATTATCTTATAATTGTAGAAAATGTGTCCCTCAAGGGACATGAATGCTGGAAGAAATCAGCTAATTACCTACTCCTAATCCAAACTTCTGGTTTCCTTCAGCTGAAAGGTTATTCTAGTGCATAAATCTAATATATTATGCAGGTGTGGTATCATCCTGAATAGAAAAAAAGCCTCCCAGCATTAATGGGTTGTTTGTGGGGGAGGAAGTTCATGTCTGTTAAATTTTCCCTGACTTATTTTTTTAGCAGCTCTTGGAGAGGAGGTGCTGAGCATCCTTAATTCCAGCTGATTGCCCTGAGACCAGAGGGCACCCAGCACTTATCCAGACTGATGCACTTCCACCTAGGGCCCCAATCATAGATTTTTGACGCACATTCACAGAAACTCACTGCTGGAAATTTTAGCCTCTACAGCTCATAGAGCTGGACTTTAAAATGTTAAAGCTATCAAACATTATTTTATATTTTAAATCATGAGCATGTTGCTATTGACTTTTAAGTAATTTGTTACTCATGTAATTCCCAGTTGCTTCTATTTTTAGTGAGATTTAATGGAAGTTATACAAGGTCTTTCATCAAAGCTCCTCTACAGTAATAATGTTTATAATTTTACATGGTAGTAATTCTTACTTTTAGAACTCTTCTCTTTGTTTCAAAGGCATATACTTGTTCTGACTCAGCTGAAGCATGCACGTGATTCAGCACAGTAATTATGACCAAGCACTGACACTCCTAGCCAAAATTTCCCTTAGGTGGAGGTGGCCTCTGAAAGAGATCAGGAGAGAGAAGTGCTGACAGACTGCATTTAGAGACTCCAATAATGGGAGTCTCCATGCTACCATAGGCACAGAAGGCTCTCAGCACTGAATGCAAGGATGGGGACAGGACTCCTGGTGGTGAGGCACCTGCCACCTCAGCAGTGGTGGCAAAACCGAGCTCAGGGTCCCTCTCTCAGGCAGGTTAGTGATGTTAATACTGCTGGCTGTCAGGGTCTGCACTTTGCTTGTGACCATAGCAGTCTGAGATGAGGAGGACTGAACCCATCTCCCCCAAATCCATTTACTGGAGGTTTTACATGACACTAAGTGACGGCATTCGGAGCCCATTTCCCAAAATCATCATGAAGGAGGCAACAATCTGCTGCACTTGGGAAACCCACTCATTACTGTCTCTACACAAAGGAAATCTAAATAGAAAATTGTTCTTTTGGTATCCAGCTGGCTTACGCTTGCCTTGATTGCAGTTACATGGTTTTGCTGTCACTTGGGAATGAAACTCTTCATACTGATGCTTTACATCACCAAAGAATGCTAGCAGTTGGTCTGACAGAAGCATCAGCAACTGTAATCAAGGGAAAATAGAAAACTTCTCTACCAGTGCAACCTGTACTTCCCATTAGCTTTTAAAATGAAGAACAAACTGGATAAGATTGTGTTCTTTTTCACAAGCTGGTCTGAAGAACTAGATCAGAAGAGAGACCTTAGTTACAGCTTAGTGGAAGGAGGAAATAAAGGCTAAGCTTCCGATCTGGATTCCCATTAGCTCACTGCATGAATTAAGAATTGTTGTATATTCCTTGCATCTGCCTGACAGCTGGATTTAGATTTATATAGCAACAGCTCCTTGCTTTGCTCTAGCATGCACCACCTGGGAAACTGAAAGAGCTTTAAAAAACTTGTTGAAATTAAACTCACAAGTAAGAAGATAATATAGCTCACCCATTAAACAGTGACTGCTTGCCTGTAGCTTCTTACCCAGCAGCAAGTGCTGGAGGTATCCTGACTGATGAAGAGGTGACTACCATGTATTCACTGAAGGGCAAGAGTGTGCATAGGAAGAGCTACCCCAAACTCAAGGTATTTTACTGATATACTCATGGTCTTGGAAACTTCTTTGAGATAAATAGATCAATAAGCAGGTGGTAATTTTTAGAGCAGAATTTAGGATAGAGGGAGCCTAAAATGCCTCATAGTTGGACAGAGCACTTGGTCCTGACCCCGCATGTGCTCATTTACCACTTGGTTAGATATTTACAATTATGTACCCAGTTAATTTTGGACTATTTTTGTCTTGATTTTGCTCTCCATCAGAGTGACTTAGTTATCTGTTACTGTTTAAACTCTGTGCCTTGGACCTCCACTGAGGGAAACTGTTTTCACTGTTGCACTCTGTAGCTCCTCCTGATTTACAGCAGCAGAAGAACCAGGACCTTCAGAGCAATGTATCTTTGAGGACAAATTGCTGGCAAACAACACTCGCTATATAGGCTGCTATTTCCATTATCCATATGTAATTGATCAGTTGGGCTGTGTGGTTTTTGTCTGAGATTTCTAGCAGAGAATGCAATTACAGTACAACAAAGTGAAGGGTTAGGCCAATAATAAATACAGAGCAAGTATTTTTGGTGAAACTATATTAAAAAAACCTACCAAAACCAAACCAAAACCCCCCCCCCCCCCCCAAACAAACCAATAAATCCTGCAGACTGAAGAACAGCAAATCTCACAACTGTATTTTAAAAAGAAGACACTGATATGGGTGTCTGTGGTGCTAACTATCCATCCTCAGTCATATGCTAAACTTAACAACAAATTGTGGAGGAAAAAGTAAGGACAGGGATGCACTTCTAACTTTATCTATTTGACAAGATAATGTGATTTTTAGATGAGGAAACTGCAGTAGCTCTCAGTAAGCATCTGATACAGTATAACAACTGAAGGAGGACCTATCCCACAATTTAGAACCCAGCTATTCAGTCTGTCTTCCCACAAGCATTTAACAGGACCCTCATGACAAGATGAGGAACATGGATCTTATTTTAAAAGGATTGGATGAACTTTGGGCCCAAACATAGTGGTTTGTCTGTTATGATTCAGCTGGACTAACTGGTCTCCTTTCAAGTATAATCATGTATAATGTAGGTAAATGAGATACAGGGCTTTGTCATACAAAACAAATTTTAGCAGAAAAAAGGAAATATTTCTGTCATTCTCCAAACATTGTAGGGGATCATCTGGAGCCCTGTGAAATCCAGCTACCTGCTACACAGGCAAACATGTTCAAACTGGGGCACATGTGGGTAAGAGCTGCTATGATGAGATCTGAAGACCTCACCCGAGAAAAGGATAATAAAATACTTCAATTCATTCAGCCTAACTAAATAGGCTGAGGGAGAACATGAAAGAAAGTTGAAAGACAACAGACTTTCAGTCTGAGGTAAAGTTGAATAGCAGTACCCAAATTAAAGTGTAAGCTGACCATCTAGGCTGGAAAATACAAGGCTGCAATTGCAGCCCGAAGTCCTGACAGGTTCTCTGTGGGATTGTCTCCTCTGCTTTTCCTCGTGGGTCAGCTCAGCCTGAGCCATCCCTGAAGCATCTTTTGGACCTGTTTGCAACACTCACTGGGGAGGGACCCTTGACCCTAGCGCTGGGCAGGGGGCTCCCTGTTCCACTCGCCTTGCTGATGGGCAGCATTATCCTCATGTTTACACTAAATCTTTTCTGCTACAATTTAAAGCACTTCTTCTGTTCCTAGTGGTTATGGAGAACACATGATGCCCCTTATCTCTGTGGTGACACTTGGCAGCCCGTGTGCACTGCTCTGTGTCTGGGCATCCCTGAGCCTTCCCATCCAGATGCTTCCCCACTGGAGCCACTGCTTCAGCCTGCCCTGGGGGGTGCAGCCCTCCTGGCACTGCACTGCTGGGAGGCCCTGCAGAGCATCATCAAGGACTTTTATTTAATTTATTAGTTTATGTAATGTTTAAATTAATAAATGTTAATTTAACTGGTCTCTGATTTCTTTGCCAGCATTGGCACTAACTTAGCTGTTGGAACAAAGAGTAATTTTGGCATGAAGACATGTATGGGGAATTGCTGGAGAGAAAAAGCAAATTTTGTTGGTAAAGAATGGGGAAAATGGTAAAAACTACAATTTTCTCTCCTGCCCAAATTTGTTTTGTCATGTCAATTGTGGTTACAGGTTCAACATACATTCTCCACAAATTTTCACACAAACTAAAGTATCTTACACTAATTTAGATAAAAAGTAAATGTAAAAAACATTAATTTTAGTTACTCATTTTATAGAGTTATTATGAATAATTTTTTTTCCCACTATTCAGCTGATTTTGTGTGCACATTACATTTGTTTTTTCATTTTTGGGAAAAGAACTGCATGAAAGCAATCCTGTCTCAACTCAGTCCTGAACAAAGGCAAAAATTCTCATAACTTGAGAAAAAGTGAAAGAGAATGAATGTTATGGTTTAACAATGGTGCTGGTAAAGAGATATCTGATAAATGCAACATATTTAAATATTAAATCTGTGATAAATTGTTCTTCAGCTCTTTTCAACAAATGACAAAACCAGGAAATCTGCTACAATAGCACACTTGCCATAGCACCCGGATACTACTATGAACACTATGTTGCAAATAGTGTTATAAATAGTGCTTATAAATGGAGAAATAATTAGCAACATCGTTAATTTACCAGAATAATGACATCGTGCATTCCTTCCTTCTTCAGCTGTTGGATGTACTCTGGCAGACCTGCAAAATTCACTTTGTCATAGGTAAAGTCCAGGCGACGATCCATGTAGTCAATGTCAAGATGTTGGACATCCTAAATATTTTGAAAGTAAGCATTATGTGAGTGCTTCATCCAGCTTGGCACAGGGAAGACAAGGACCTGTTGGAACAGCTCCAGAGGAGAGCCACAAAAAGGATCAGAGGGATGGAACACCTCTCCTATGAAGAAAGGCTGAGAGAGTTGGGGTTGTTCAGCCTAGAAAAGAGAACACTCCAAGGAGACCTTATTGTGACCTTTCAATCCTTAAAAGGAGGCTTACAAGAAAGATGGGAACAGGCCTTTTAGTAGGGTCTGTTGCAACAGGACAAGGGGTAATGGCTTTAAAATAAAGAAGAATATATTCAGACTATAGATAAGGTGGAAATTTTTTACATTGAGGGTGGTAAAACACTGGGACAGGTTGCCCCACCCCTGGAACCACTGAAGGTCAGGTTGGATGGGGCTCTGAGCAACCCAATCTAATTGAAAATATCTCTGCTTACTGCAGGGGGTTGGACTAGATGACCTTTCCAGCCCAAACCATTCTACAATTCTATTCTTGATGCACTTGACACAGAAAATCAGAATGTATGAATCTGCATTTCTGAAAGAGAGTTAACGTATGAAATAAGACCTAAGAGATTGACCATAATAACTGTAGAAAATGGTCAGACCAAATTCAGCTTCTATAAATTTGCATGGTAGCAATGGAAAAAATAGAAATGTAGAAGTCCTAGATTAGCAATTGTTTGGCAGTGATATGCATCAAAAGTTCCATAATTTATTTTTCAATTGCTGGCACCTCATGCAGCCAAGAGCAGCACTTAAAACTCATGTTTATAACCTGCTTTAAATGTCCTTTAAAGCTATTAGAAAGATATTCTATGCAAAACCACTACATAAGATTATGAACATCCTGTTCTTCTACAATTCTCTTAGCAGGATAATAATTTTTCCTCTATTGTAATTTTATCCATCTCACTTTGAATTGGAAAATTAGCATCCAGAGTGAAAAACTCATGCTTACGTATGGGATGTTGTAGCGGTGCATGCGATCAACGGTTTCCTTCAAAACATCAATGCTGCCATAACCCCAACGGGAGAGGTGAAATCCCAGAGACCAGTAGGCAGGCATGTGTGGGCGTCCAATGGCCTACAGCAGGCATGA